TGATTATTGTTCTCAGAGCAGGWATTAGAAGAGGAACTTACCAGATCTCCTGTTATTTAATCGTCTTGCTCCAAAGCAAACGCTGATTGTGCAAATTGCAAAGAAAAGAAAGCAGAAGAGACCTCTCTCTTTACTTTTAGGATCCATTTCTTCAGCTGGTCGAAAGTTCAAAACAGTCAAATCTCCATTTTTACGCACAGCTCAAATCAAATGACTTTCTGGTTAACTATTCCTTGAAGAAAATATTTTTATGTAACTAAATTTTGATCATAAACGCCATCCAGAGGCACCACGGGACGCGCCCGAGCTTGGGTTTGACCCTGATAAGATTACAGTCTGCAAAAGATCAGTGGGGTGGATCATGAACGGACTACTGTTCCTCTGAAAGGCGCTCTGGTGGACGATGAAAAAAAAAAGTGTCCCGACAACAATTCACGCGTAAATCACCATCGCTGGAACAAATGAATGGCTGCCACGGTCTTTTTTTACGCACGGAGATCCGAGCTGTCGTGTCGCTCTTCAGTCCCGCTTCTTAGACAGCAGATGAGCTGCAGAACCAAGTGCAAGGAGCGTGGGGCCATTTAGAGCTAAGAGGATAATAAGCGTCTAATCCGCGCACTGGACACAGATGGAGACGTCCTGACGCAGAGGCAGAGGAGCCGCACAGAGCTGCCTGGATGGAACCTGTTGTGTTCATCCATTCACTCACTCATTTAAAATGTTTATCTAACTCAAGTTGGCACGTTTTTTAATAGGTCATCGACTTTTATACGCACATTCTGTTTTAGATCAATTTATTTATTCCATTCAACATGTGTTAGTGATAACATCCATTAGGAAACTAATTGAAATGATTATTTTAAAATATTGTTTGCAACCACAAATTGCAAAGAGCCATTGACCTTGAGCTAAAAAAAAGTGTCTTGAAAATATGAATAAATGTTCAAATTTGGATGTGCTGACCACAGATTACCTTTTGATTTCTGTAAACTGTCAATATCAGTTAAGAAGTTCACAAACATGAAAACAGCTTATAACACATAGGTGACCTTGGACCCAAAAAAAAAGGTGAAAAGCAAAAGGTCTGTTCTCAGAGTGCAGCCTGTCTTACTGATGTTTCCCTGGTGGACTGCAGCTGATTGACATGTTGACTACGTTCAATAAAAATGTTGTCTTCCATTTTTCTTCTCAGTAATGGCATTCGTCTTCAGGGGAAGCTGTCGCTTAACACAAAGCAGCGGCAGCTCCATAAAAAAGCCTGTCAAAGAACTGAGCATATCCATTATCTTCTGACTTTATTAAAATATAATCACTATGTCATTTATAATCACTGGTCTCCAAATAATGCAGCAGTTATTCAGTCTGAGCACAGTTTTGTACTTAAAACCTTCTTTAAACCCCTGTTAGTTACTGTTAAATTAAACGTGTTTACAATAGTTGTACAATCTGCAGCAAAAATGATCAGATTGATCATTTCTTCACCTTCTAACACAGAGGTGTCCTGTTCTGGTCCTCAAGGGTCACTATCCTGCATGATTTAGATGCTGAAGAGCAGGTCTTATGTCATTCTAATTGTGCCAAAGAAAACATGCAGAATAATGTCCCTTGAGAACCAGGACTCTGCTCCTCTCATCTTTCTTCTTCTTCCCTAAAACATTGAAGCAATTTGTATTTTGTCACCAAAATGATGTCCAAACATTGCTCCTCCAGACAAGAAGGGGAATCTTTTTTTTTCTGACAAGAGGTATTCTTTGATAAAAAGAAAAATATCTGCAAACAATCAGAAGAGTGATCCACTGCCAACAAAATGTCACAACAGGAATTTACTGCAGAAAGCTTCGRCAGCTGGAGGTTCAGGCCAGCAGAAAGTGTCAGTGTTGGGATGAGAAGTGAAGTGAGTCAACAGCTCAAAGTGAAACTCGACAGTTCCATCTTCTGGACAAATGCAGACAAGCTGAAGAAAATAACGTGGAGATAAACCAGAAAAAAATTTAACAATGAAAGAAAAAAAATGCACTTTGAAACACAGACATAAAGAGAGTCAAATGTTTTGAAATACTCTTTTTGTGCTTTGCACAGAAACAAAACAAAACTACAAAGGAGTGTTTGTGGAAAATGATAATAAATTGAATTTAACTGAAACAAGGCAAACCAGCACATTTTAATCTCACCTGGCTGTGAAAGCACCTTGGATTGTAACAAATGTTATGGATGAAAGCTAAACAGCGTCCACTAGTGGCAGGACTTTAGTACTACGAGCCTGAAATATGAATTTCAAAATGAACTTCATATTTTTATTAATTAATATTTATCTTGTTTTATCATATTGGCCGGAAGCACAGAGCTGTGGTTTAATTGGAAGTCCACATTCAAATTTAAGGACCCTTGAAATAATTTGACATGCAGGAACATTTTCTTCAGAAGGTAAAAATTAGATATTTCCTCATCAAAATGAATGTGATTTTTACAATGTTATAAACAATCACAGGGTGAGAAAACCTTTCAACACAACCAACTTTACAGTATTTAGCAGAGCTAACCAATCAGGAAGCTAATTAAAATCTGTATTCATACAACAAACAGTCTGTAATTTCCTTCATATAAATATAAATAGCAAAATATATAAATTTGYAATCAATGAGCAGAATATTTGTGCTTTGTTAAGTACTTGGCATCTGTTCCACTTTTTCTGCAGACAAATTAAAAGTAAAAGCTGTGTTTTCTTTAACGTTCGAGCGGTTCTGACCTCACTTTAACACGACTGAACTCCCTGTGGTTCAGCGAGGTGGACGACTTCCAGTCTCCCAGCTCCTGCAGTCTGATCGCTCTCAGCCTGAAGCCACAGCAGCACCAACCAGCACATGGTGTTCATTACCCTCTAAATGCTGCAAAGAGTCACCAGAGAGTAGCTTTTCTTTTTCTTGAATTCAGAAATTCATTCACCACCCAAACAAATCCTCGCCCCAGGAACTTCTTGCTGTTGAAGTTTAATGATTTAACTCTGAGCACCACAAAAATCAAGGCTAGGATTTCTAATCTGTTTTGCCACTATTTGTAACATGTTTTTTTTTAAAGATCCACAAACTGGATTAAGAAGTCTCTGCACACTCAAAATGTATTTTTGTTCCAACTTGTTAGGGCGTGAGCTTCTCTGTGAAGAACATCGGACACAAATTTGTTTTTGCAGGATGAAGTTTGGTCTGTTTTTAAACTGAGTTACTGATCTGTGGGTAAAGTTGACATTTAGGGGTTTTGAGGACTGATCAGCTGGCTCTGAGCTCTAAGTCTGATGTTTGTCAGAAATATGCAGGTTGACTTGTTATTGTGCATCCATCTGGTATAAATAAGTCAAAAATCACAAGTTGCTTCGAGTCTGAACTTTCTTTGACCTCTGTGCTGAAGTCAGCGCACAAACATGTTTGCAATTCAAGAGTATGAGGATTAGTAGGTCTACCGTTACATTTGGGAATTGTGTGTTCCTGAACGCAACTTAACGCCGACTCCTTCCAGAGCCAACACAAATCCTACACAAATTCTTACACATTCCTACACAACGTCTTAATAAACGTTCATATTTTTAGGCTTTTAATTTTTTTATTACAAAAATCCATTTTTGTCTTGGCTCCAACCTGCTGTTAGCCTGTCAGTCTCAGTCAGACCGAAACTATGTTTCTCTAAATTGGTGGTGGTGGAGTGTTTTTTATTTGATTTTCTCCTTTTATTCATTTAATTTAAAAACAAAAACAAACTCACATACAAAAAATACATATAAAATATAATCAAAATGTTTACATTTTGGAATATTTTCACAGCTAAAATAGCTTTAGCAGCAGAAGCTATACGTGTAGCTCTTCCTGTGCAGCCTAGAACACTTCCTTTCAGGATCATCATAATACATATAATATGCTGGAATAACTGATGTGAAGTTTTATAAATGTACAATTATACATTTACAACAATTATAAAACCACACCATTTATTCCAGCAGTATTATGATATGTATGATATGTCTTATGACAATCCTGAAAATGAGGCTGAGATCAAGACTTTTCTGTGAGGAGTTTGTTGTTGTGTCTGATATTTTCGCTTTCCACTTTAAACATTATAATATTTCATCCAGTTTTTCTGTTTTGTTTTGTTTTGTTTTATTATTGCATCAGTTACTGCTGTTTTCTCTGTGGTCTATAATGTTTGCTACTTCTTTTTATGGCTCTGTGTATTCTTCTGTAGTTTCTGTTAATGTCTTTTCATTCCTGACAGATTACAAACGCATAAAGAAAACTTTGACTTGACTTTGAGGGAGACTTTAAATCTTTCAATGGGGCTCTGTACAAAGATTGTGAAGGATTAACATTTTACTAGCTGTATAGCTCTTGGAACGTGCTCAGTTCTGAGAAATAAAGTTTATTTCTGCATGGATTGAAGAGCTCACGGCTTATATCAAAAGTGCCCTTGCAGTTAATCAGTTAATGCAAACATTGTTTTGTTTATTTGTTGTTTATTGCAATACAACAGGAACAAACAAGTTTATTGCTCTGATGTATTGATGAATCACTAATACCTTTCCAAGACTGAAGTTGGTTTAAAAGACAATATTTCACTTAGGTCTTTGTCTTACATAACTTTTCAGTCAGGTGAAATTTAATTTCTAGTTCTCCAAACTAAATTTGTTTTATGCACAGCAGGTAAGATATTATTTGTTTATTATCTTTCCGTATATTTTTACTTCAAAACATCTTATCAGTTTTTTTTAAATAACATTAAAACTACAGCAGAAAATATTTTCACAAAGCCTTTAGTGCTTGTATCAACTTGCCTAAAAGTATTCTTCAACTTGAACAAAATCGTTGTTAGTAGAGAAAATGTTGTTATTGTGGCCCAAATTGTTCTCAGAATTGTGTAAAGTTAGAAAGGATCCCAGAGTTAAAAATAATCTGTGCATCAGCTGGGAAACAATAAATGCCAACACATTTGGCTCTGTTTTCATTGCCTGATTAGAAACATGTTGCCCATCTCTCTCTCTCTCTCTCTCTCTCTCTCTCTCTCTCTCTCTCTCTC